TCCCTCCTTCCCTCCCTCCCTCCCTCCCTTCCTTCCTTCCTTCCCTCCCTCGTTCCTTCCTTCTCTCTGAGGATTTTCAGTGCAAGGTTTAGAAAGAGAGGGAACAAAAAATCCAGATCCTTCACTGAAGGGAGATTTTAAATTTTTAAAAAAATGGAATTTGCACACATCAGCCTAGAATTTCCCAATTTTAGACCTCTGGAGGTTTTGAAGAGGTATGAGCAGAGTCTCCTCTCCAGAGGCTAGTAAATCACCTCGAAGCGAGATGGGCAGCAAACAAATCTAATTAAAAAAATAAATAAACAAATAACTGTATCAACTCTCTGTCTATCACATAGTTTTGGGTACTTAGGCCAAATCACGCTAGCATTGCATTTAGCCCAGACGTTGAACTAGTCAGAAGATGAACTTTGGTGGAGAAAACTAAGTGCTCCTGCAGTTTAGCAGCTTCTGCAGGTCTGGGGATTTCTCACCCAGCCTTCCCAGCTTCAATTTTAGCAGATGCAGTTAAGTCTCTTCCACGAAGTTCTGCAAAAAGGCATTGATTTCCCCCCACCCTCTTTCTGCCTTCAAAGTAACTTAGGAAAGCGAAATCAAGAAGGGACGAATAGAGCCGAAAAACATCTCCTTCTTCCCCCCAAAAAACTAAAATAAAATCTAAACTAAGCCCTACCCACGCCTCTTTCAACAGAGGTGAAAAAAGGAGAGGCAGCTTTGAAGATCCAGGGAAACCTGGAAGGGATTTTAAGTCCTCCGGGATGGAGAGAGAAGGACACTGGCACAGACAAAACTCTTTGTAGATGGATCATAATATATTTCTCACTTAGGAGGAGGGGGAGAGAAAAGGATGGGACTAAAGCCGCAGATCATCAAAAACAGCAAAAGATGCAACTGGATGGATGCAGGAGAAGGAGAAGAACAGCTAAATTACTGGGGAGGGGGAAGGAAAATAAGGGGGAGGGGTGTCTGCCATCCTGGAGGCCATCCTTCAATTAGCCAAAAACAGCCTTTTGGAGGCCTTAAAGAGAACAAGTTCCACCAGCAGCTTAAAAACTGGGCTATTTTTTTTTAAAAAAAGGATAATATTTAGACTCTCTTCAGAAGAGGCCCAATTATGTGGGCTTCTGCTAAAGGGCTGTAGGGAGGTTTTTTGTGGCTTTCCCAAGAGATGTGTCTGTTACAAAAGACACAGGTTGACTGTCTATGGAGATTCTCAGTTATCCAGGTCATGGCCATCTCAAAGATGCTTTTCCCAAAGGCAACTGGACTTCTTCTTTCTTTCTTTCTTTCTTTCTTTCTTTTCCTTTCTTTCTTTCTTTCTCTCTCTCTCTTTCTTTCTTTCTTTCTTTCTTTGTTGTTCATAGTATGTTTAGGTGTGTGTCATGTATGTGTTTCACTTTGAGAGTGGGCAACTAAATTTCATTTTTGATGTGTGCCATTGTGCCCATAGTATAAGAATGACAATAAAGGTTATCTTATCTTATCTTATCTTTCTTTCTTTCTTTCTTTCTTTCTTTCTTTCTTTCTTTCTTTCTTTCTTTCTTTTTTCCTTTCTTTCTTTCTTTCTTTCTCTTTCTTTCTTTCTTTCTTTCTTTGTTGTTCATAGTATGTTTAGGTGTGTGTCATGTATGTGTTTCACTTTGAGAGTGGGCAACTAAATTTCATTTGTGATGTGTGCCATTGTGCCCATAGTATAAGAATGACAATAAAGGTTATCTTATCTTATCTTATCTTTCTTTCTTTTCTTTCTTTCTCTTTCTTTCTTTCTTTCTTTTCTTTCTTTCTTTCTTTCCTTCCTTCCTTTCTTTCTCTTTCTTTCTTTCCTTCCTTCCCTTCTCCTCCTCCTCCTTCTTTGAAAAAAAAAGCCCAGCTGCCTTTGGAAAAAGCACTTTGAGACACAGGCTGACCCTTCCTGTTTTACCAGGCCTGTTTCTCCAGCATCCAGCAAGGTACATGCAGCCAGCTGAAACACACACCGATGGTGACGTGTTGGGAGTTGTGTGGCTGTAATAAATGTGAATAAATAATAGTGGCCCCTCACCATCACCACCACCCACTGGTGCTTTTCTGAGGGCTTTCATAGGATGGATTATTTATTAAATTTGTAGGTGCCCTACCTCTCTGCAAAGCAACTCTGAGCAAGCTACCAGTATTGCAAGGGTCGCTATACAATTAAGTCTTTGATCTATGAACATAATGGAGCCTGACCATTGCAGTCTCCAAGTCTTGATGGTCATTAGGAAAGGTAAGTGGAGGGGGCACTGAAGCGTCCCTATGGTCAGTCATAAGGAGGGAGGGGTTTCCTGTAACTTCAAATGGTCATTAAGCCATCAGTTATAAGTTGAGGACTACCTGTAATGAAGTAGAAGAAGATGTGAGTCCTTGAAAAGATGCTCAGAAGTTGGGCCTTGGGGTGGGACCAGTTTGGGGTCTCCTTACCTGCAGGTCGAGGGCCCTGGAGGAGAAGGCAGGGATGTGACAGACCAAAATGGGACACCAGAAAGCGGCTTTGCTCTTCTTGTCTTCTTCAGGGCAGACCCATCCAGGCTGGTTTTCTTCCCCTGCAGGGGGACAGAGAAAGAGTTGGAAAATCTCCTCTCCCAGGGTGAGGTTCAAATGTGCCCTGTGACTTTGGTCAACAGTCAACTTTGATAAACAATCTTAGTCAACAGTCAACCTTGGCCAACAATCAACCTTGTTCAACAGTCAATCTTGGCCAACAGTCAACCTTGACCAACAGTCAACAGTCAACCTTGACCAACAGTCAACCTTGGCCAACAGTCAACCTTGGCCAACAGTCAATCTTGACAAACAGTCAATCTTGACCAACAGTCAACCTTGTTCATCAGTCAACCTTGGCCAACAGTCAACCTTGGCCAACAGTCAACCTTGGCCAAGAAACAGTCAACCTTGGCCAACAGTCAACCTTGGCCAACAGTCAACCTTGGCCAATAGTCAACCTTAACCAACAGTCAATCTTGGCCAATAGTCAACCTTGACCAACAGTCAACCTTGGCCAACAGTCAACCTTGGCCAACAGTCAATCTTGACAAACAGTCAACCTTGGCCAACAGTCAACCTTGGCCAACAGTCAACCTTGGCCAACAGTCAACCTTAACCAACAGTCAACCTTGGCCAACAGTCAACCTTGACCAACAGTCAACCTTGGCCAACAGTCAACCTTGGCCAACAGTCAATCTTGACAAACAGTCAACCTTGGCCAACAGTCAACCTTGGCCAACAGTCAACCTTGGCCAAGAAACAGTCAACCTTGGCCAACAGTCAACCTTGGCCAACAGTCAACCTTGGCCAATAGTCAACCTTAACCAACAGTCAATCTTGGCCAATAGTCAACCTTGGCCAACAGTCAACCTTGACCAACAGTCAATCTTGTTCATCAATCAACTGGCCAACAGTCAACCTTGACCAAATGTCAACCTTGGCCAACAGTCAACCTTGGCCAAATGTCAACCTTGGCAAACAGTCAACCTTGGCCAACAGTCAACCTTGACTTAACAGTCAACCTTGGCCAACTGCCCATCTGTGAAGCAAAGCAGAATGGGAATGCCCTTCACAGAAACCTGGAAGAGCCATCCGGGTTATGCTGGCTGTGGATAACAATGATGAATTTTCTGACTGCCCCCTCCTCAAATGCACAGAAGGGACCACAGATAGCCCAGCAGCCCAGAGCCACAGCTTGCTGATTTTAGAAGCATTCCAGTAATGTAGGGTTCCCCACACTGTGCTCCTTGCAAAGGAGGCGAATAATCTGATTTATAGGGGTTTCTAGGATTCCTTAAATGAAGGTTGACCCGTGATCTTTAGAACTACAGACACACTCAATAACTAAAAAGAAGACCAAGAAGGGAAGGGACTGTCACATCAGCCCTGTGTCCCTTGTCCTCTCCTGTAGCTATAAAAGTGTGTGAAGTCTTTATTTATTAATTATTTTTATTTATCAATCAGATTGATAGGGCCGTCCATCTCCGCAAAGGTGGTATTTTCATCTATTTTAAAAAAGTCTTTCTGTTATAAAAAAAGGAAAGATCTAGCAGTATTTTTATACGATCTAGATATAGTAGGATTAAGGACTGAATCAGTGTTATATTAACAGCATACAGGGTTTTTTTTTTCCTTCCGAAATTCTCATTTTCCCCCCTCTTAATTTTCATTTTAATGTAGTGTTTCTCAGTCTTGGCAACTTTTAAGTTGCCGAAGCTTCAATTCTTCAAGTCTTAAAGTTGCTGAGATTGGGGGGGGGGGGAAACCCCCGCACAGCTTTAATATATGTAGCTCCTTATCGTATTATCATTAATGTATTATTCTTTTATCTGCTACACTTCATTAATAAAATTTAAGCAGACTGGATTGCTCTTCTCTTGTTTATTTGCCACACTCCATTAATAAAATTTAAAACAGATGAAGCAAATTAAGTCTCTCTTCACCTAAAGTTATCTCATTAGGGCGAGCAGGCAGGCAGGCAGGCAGAACAGAATCCAAAGAGACCCCTAAAAGTCACAAACTTTTTATCAATTTCCTTATGGAATATTTTCTGGGGGGTGGGGAAGTCCCACCACTCACGGAGAGGTAAGCAATTAATTTCTCTTCTTTGCCAAGTATCTTGGGAGTGGCTGCTAGCACTTTAATTACAGAAAATATTAAAACATAAGCCATTAAAAAAAAGCGACTTACTGAATATTTTATTGGGGAAATCATACATGATAATCACGTTAACAGCTTTTTCCAAAGCTTCTGCAGAAATGGTTCTCAACTTACAACTACAGCTGGGACCAAAATTTCCGTCGTTAAACAATGTGGTTGTTATTCAGGGGGTTGCGACCGATTTTATGATCACATTTGCCATGGTTATTAAGCCAATCACTGTCCTTCCTTCCTTCCTTCCTTCCTTCCTTCCTTCCTTCCTTCCTTCCTTCTTTCCCTTCTTTCCTTCCTTCCTTCCTCCCTCCCTTTCCTTCTTCCCTTCCTTCCTTCTTTCCCTTCCCTCCCTTCCTTCTTTCCATTCCCTCTTTCCCTTCTTCCTTCCTTCCTTTCCTTTCTTCCTTCTTTTCCTTCCTTCCTTCTTTCCCTTCTTTTCCTTTCTTCCTTCCTTCCTTCCTTCCTTCTTTCCCTTTCTTTCCTTTCCTTCCTTTCTTCCTTCTTTCCCTTCCTTTCTTCTTTTTTTCCCTTCCCTCCCTTCCTTCCTTCTTTCACTTCCTTTCCTTTCTTCCTTCTTTTCCTTCCTTCCTTCTTCCTTCCTTCCTTCCTTCCTTCCGTATGCTGCCCTTTTGTATGCTGCCTTCCTTCCTTCTTTCCCTTCCTTTCCTTTCTTCTTTTCCCTTCCCTCCCTTCCTTCCTTCTTTCCCTTCCTTTCCTTTCTTCCTTTTTTCCCTTCCCTCCCTTCTTTCCTTCTTTCCCTTCCTTTCCTTTCTTCCTTCTTTTCCTTCCTTCCTTCCTTTTGTATGCTGCCCTTTTGTATGCTGCAACACCAGCCAGCTGAAAGACCTTGTTTGATTGAGTCGCTAAGCGAATCAGGACGTTGTTAAGCAAATCCCTCACTGACTCTGCTTGTCAGAAGCCGGCCAATAGCGATCACATGACCGGGAGATCTTGCAGCTGTCGTAAGTACACGCCAGTGGCCGAGCACCCAAATTTTGATCCCGTGACCGTCGGGAAAACTGCCATGGTAGCAATTGTCATTTACGACAATTCCTTCGCCCTTTATCCCATACGTCCCAGTGACCGACTCAGATCGGATCATTCTTTTAAACCTTGAACTGTCACTAAACAAACGGCTGTTAGGTCGAGGACTGTATCCGACCTGGGTTACGAAGAAGCGTTGAACCCAGAATACAAGTAAGCAAAGGCGATTTTACTCACGGAGAGCGATTTTGGCCAAGTGCAAATAATTCACCCAGGAAATTTTGCTGAGGGGATTCGGCGTGATGAAGACCACCATGACGCTGACTGGCCGGCCGGCCCTGTATTAAAAAATAGATCCCAAAAGATAAAGATGACAACGTGAACACAGAAATCCAGGATGGTATAAGGCAGAGGTAGGAAACCTAGGCTCTTTTATGACTCGTGGACTTCAACTCCCAGAATTCCTGCGCCAGCCATGCTGAGGGAAAAGGGAGAGGTTTCTAAGCTGAGCCATGCTGGCTCAGGAATTCTGGGAGTTGAAGTCCACGAGTCATGAGGGGGCCATAGTTTCCCCATGCTGGCTCAGGAATTCTGGGAGTTGAAGTCCACGAGTCATGAGGGGGCCATAGTTCCCCCGAGTTGGCTCAGGAATTCTGGGAGTTGAAGTCCACGAGTCATGAGGGGGCCATAGTTTCCCCATGCTGGCTCAGGAATTCTGGGAGTTGAAGTCCACGAATCATGAGGGGGCCATAGTTTCCCCATGCTGGCTCAGGAATTCTGGGAGTTGAAGTCCACGAGTCATGAGGGGGCCATAGTTCCCCCGAGTTGGCTCAGGAATTCTGGGAGTTGAAGTTCACGAGTCATGAGGGGGCCATAG